TTCAGGCCAGCTGAGGCTCTGAAAAGGGACTTGTTAGAAGACCAGGCTAAGAGGGTGGAGGACTAAAAGCCTCCCGCTGCCAGGATGAAGCCAGTGGGACCCACTTCATTCAAGGGGCTTGCTGATGAGAGATCTCGGGCTCTGCAGAGGCTTCTGCTGAAAGGCCCGTGGTCCTATAGCCTATGATGACACACACCATGAATCTAGGGCTTGGAATCTCTTGCTTGAACTTTTTGACGCCATCCCGATGTGTGCCAGAGAAAGAGAGGCTGCCAAAAAAGCAAGCATTTTCCCATCTCTAAAAATAAAAGGCAGGCACCACTTCAGGCCCTGCTGCCAAGACCCAGCCCTTCCCAGGATAAACAATAGGTAGCCAAGCTGACCGGAGGCAGGCACTGGGCCCTGAAGTAAGCCTGGGGCCAGCCTGAAATGCCGAGAGCGGGCGTGTGCAGCCGTTCAGCTGGAGGCCAGAGGGGGCCCTCCCTTCTCCACAGCGGATGGAGGGCGGCTCCGACGCCCCCAACCAGAGACCAGGTGTGGCCCACTCGGGTTATCCCAGCAAACTTGACCCAGCCGAGGTCACAGAGTTCCCACCACCCCTGCCCCCAGAGCCCTCAGGGTGCACGGTGACAGATCTGAGGGCTTGTGGGGTCTTGTCCCAAGAAAGTTGCCTGGGAAGGAAAGTTCCACCGGGATCTATCTGCATTCATCACTCGGGGCTATGGCCATCACCTGTCAAAACCCATCACGCCCCACCGAGGGCCCTCACCTGCTGGCTGCAGGCCCCACAAAGCACCCTAGAGTGGGGGTGATGCTGTAATAACTCATCCTTCCCACCCTAATTGCCTCCCAACTCGTCAAATGCTTCTGCACTGCTTGTTCCAGCCCCCGTGCCTTGTCATTAGGGTTCAAATCTTCCCAAGACCATAAGCTTGGCTTTTTGCTCATTTGGGGTGTTAAAAAAAGGCTAAGGGGGGTTAGGGGAGGAGAGGGACTAAATATAGCAAATATTTGCAGGCATAATCACTCCATAAACATGCTTCGGTGGAAGGGAGTGTAGGGCCGACCCAGTTGACGGATGTCATTCACCAGAGTGTCACATCATAAATAAAACTGAATGAGCCCATTCTCCCTCGGAACCAAGAGTGATGCCTGTTCACACTATAAATATTTATGTAGTCGTGGACCTTAAAAGACTTTATTTTTCCAGGTAAGTAGACTTTAATGAAAAAGTTAAGCAGAGCTTTTCCTGCCATTACGGAATAGTCATTGTAGCTTTTTGACATGGTATTCCACTGGCAAGGAGAAGAAAAAAAAAGAAAAAAAGGGAAAAATCAGGCTGCCCTCCATGAGGCTTCTGCGTGGGATCTCATTTATGCCAGTCAAGGTTCATTCTCCTGCAGAAAGTGACAGCCTTCAATGGGGTGGCCAAGACCAGAGGAAGCTCTATGGGTCTCCTTTGGACCCAGGGCCTGTGTAATGAAGGGAGCTCCGACAGACCCTTGTCACCCAAGTTCAGACCCCCTGCCCCCACTCTGCCAGGAGAGTCGGGCACCCTAGCTCTCTCAGCTCTCTCCGCCTGCCCCTTAGTAACAGAAAAAAATGTACACCTCAGCCCATTACTGTGCTCATTGGAGAAGAATTCTCAGGATTCCAAGATGTGTGCCTGAGTGTCTGGGGTGTTTATGTAAAGTCCACCACTGCCGCTCTTACCTGCTCTTCCTGAGCACATGAGCCAGGGCACCCCCAGAAACCCTGCCAGTCTCTGATGCACTTTTCCTGCATTCTGCACCTCACACCACTTGTCAAGGGGACCTCCCCCAGCTCCCCCGCCACCGAAGGCTCCCAGCACCATCGCCACCCTCCCCTCCTCCAAGACTTTCCTGCCACCTGGAGTTCCCAAGCCATTGTCTCCAGAACAGTTCTTGCTGAGTTTCCTGTCACTTGCAGTTTACTCATCACTTCGAGGCACCAAAGCCCTAGCCCAAGTCCATCGAGCTGGTTCCTTTCCCAGGGGTGGCCTCCTGCCCAGGCTCCCTTCCCCTCCAAACCTCAGGGTGGCCCCTGCTATGTCAGCCTGAACTGGCCTCTTCGGGAAAATGTGATGATCCTTTGGCTCTAGTCTTGGGAAGTCTTGTTTCAGAAAGAACAAGAGTCTCTGGTTTGGGGCGGTGAGTCACAGGCAGCCTTGACCGTGCCTATCTGGGGAGGCTGAGGCTGCCATGTATGGTCCTTGCTCTGTGCCACCGACCTCTCTGTGTAAGTCGGAGCTCTTTGCCAGGACAGCCTGAGTCATAAAACTCAGCACATTCCTTAGGCGTTGGATAGTCTTTCCTTGTTATTACTTTGCTTTTGTTTTATGTAGCACCTGGTTTCATTTTAAAAATCCAAATAAAAATCTCACGGATGGGGCTCGGGTAGGCTGGGGGGTTAGGAAGGAAAAAGAGAAAGAAGGGAGTGAAGCCTAGGTTATGGGATGGAAGAAAGAGCTGGAACTCCCTAAATATGCAAGACCCAGAGCAGGACAGCAAAAGGCAGGAGAGAGAAACATGGAGAATGTGTTACGATTAAACTGAGTTTGATCCGTCCTTTTTCTGTCCATGATAAAGCACTTGATGTCCAAGTCTTTCCCCACATTAGGCCCCAGTTCTGAATTAGTCCTTTACTGATGAGCCATGTGGATTGTCCCTAAACCCTACACTTTGGGAGTCTCCTCAGTAAACTGACAGACTTATTCGTGATGAATTCTAAGGAACTTTTCAGTTACAACACTGTGATTCTACAAACCTATCTGTTCCCTTTTTTCTTAGACCACAAACCCCAACCCCAATTGAGGGACTATTTTTCCAGAAGCGAACATTTATTTTTTTGACTTTGTCAGGGGCTGATAGAGGAATGGGGGCCAGCAAAGGAGGTGGTGCAGACCCAGCCATATAAATGTTGCTGGTTAAAGTGAATTTCTGTGGCCAGGATAGTCTGCAAAATCATCTCTAAAACTGTTCACATCGGGTTTTTTAATTTAAAGAGTGTTATTCTAATAAGCTATGCCTGCATACGGCAAAAAAAAACCCACAAATACTGAAAGAACGAATAATACCTATTGACAGAATTGTATTTTCTTGGAGTAGTAAAACATTAATTAAAGCGTAAGACCAAGAGCATTAGGCAATTAGACCTTCATGAGAAATGGAGTATTTCCTGCCATATCAGTAAACAAGGAAGTAACAGTCATCAGGGATCGCAGCCCTCCAACGTAAGCCCTGAGGGCACTCCAGAAGGAGCATACTGCGGTGCAACCTGGCAGCCATTAGGCTGCAGCCACTCCCAAGGATGCTCAGGATGTAAAAAAAAAAAAACCACGAGATACTGGCCCCACATCGTTGAGATGCATATGAAAGGAATGATTTCAGTGACTCAAAACTAAGATCATGGCATCCAGTCCCATCACTTCATGGCAAACAGAAGAGAAAAAGTGGAAACAGTAGCGGATTTTATTGTCTTGGACTCCGAATTACTTCCGATGGTGACTGCAACCAGGAAATGAAAAGACACTTGCTCCTTGGATGAAAAGCTATGACAAACCTAGACAGCATATTAAAAGGTAGAGACATCACTTTGCCAACAAAGGTCCATATAGTCAAAGCTATGGTTTTTCTAGTAGTCCTGTACAGATGTGAGAGATGTAGCATAAAGAAGGTTAAGCCCTGAAGAACTGATGCTTTTGAATTGTGGTGCTGGATACTAGTGGTAAAAAACTGCCTGTCAATGCAGGAGACATAAGAGATGCGGGTTGGATCTCTGGGTTGGGAAGATCCCCTGAAGGAGGGCATGACAACTCACTCCAATATTCTTGCCCTGAGAATCCCCATGGACAGAGGAGCCTGGTGGGCTACAGTTCAAAGGGTCTCAGAGAGTCAGACATGACTAAAGCGACCTAGCACTCACGCATACTGGAAAAGAACCGAGAGTCCCTTGGACAGCAAGGAAATCAAACTAATCAATCCTAAAGGAAATCAACACTGAATATTCATTGGAAGGACTGACTCTAAAGCTGAAGCTCCAATTCTTTGGCCACCTGATATGAAGAGTCAACTCATTGGAAAGGACCCTGATGCTGAGAAAGACTGAGGGCAAGAGAAGGAGTGTCAGAGGATGAGATGGTTGGATGGCATCATCAACTCAATGGACATGAATGTGAGCAAACTCTGGGAGATAGTGAAAGACAGGTTAGCCTGGCGTGCTGCAGTCTACCAGTTCTCAGAGTTGGACACAACTTTGCAACTGAACCATAACAACCGACTATCTTGTCTCTTGACTATCTATGTATATTCCCATACACAGAAAAGCGCTAGATTCCTTAACTTGGGATATCTGGTTTTCTTTAGTTAACAATAATCATTTGATAGACTACTGTCCTTTGCTATAAAACTCCCGTATAACCTGGTTCCTCCCCTTGCCTCTTCCGAGCAATTCTCCCAGGGTCACTTGACATGCTGTCTCCTGAGCTTGAAGTCTTTAATTGCCCACCAAATAAAATATAACACTCAAGTTTTAGATTGTGTATATGCTTTAAGTCCGGAGAAGGAAATGGCAACCCACTCCAGTATTCTTGTCTAGAGAATTCCGTGGACAGAGGAGCCTGGTGGGCTGCCGTCTACGGGTCGCACAGTCAGACACACCCGAAGCGATGCAGCAGCAGCAGCAGCATTCTTTAAGTCGACATTCAACAGAGCCTTTACCTCCCTCTGTTCAAGAGCTTCTTCATGAAGCTGGCCAGAGCAAAAATCCTGGAGGTTTCTGAGTGGCTCCAAGGCAGCAGTTTTAAAGCAGTTTGGCGCCCTTAATGGAAACCATACGAAGGGATCCTGGGAATCAGACCAGAAGGCTTTCGGGGATAGTACTTAGCCTAACCTGGGATAAAGAACAAAAATAACCACTAGGAGGTCTGGGAAGGGTTGGGGGAGGGACGAGGTAGAGGTGGTGGTGCGACTTTTAATTACCTTTTCTATTTAACAGAAACCATGTGGAGAAGGTCTGTTCGCTCAACGGGAGTAAACCCGGCAGCAGGCAGAGAGCAGGGTGGGGTGCGAAGGAAGAGGGGTAGGGGACAGCTACTTCCGTAACCACACGCGATTCGGCCTGCCCCTCGGTGGGACAGCAGTCCCCCAGCCCCTTGGCTCCCAGGACAGCGGCGCTGCCTTCCCCCGCACAGGGTCTCCGCGGGGTGACCTCCCTCCAGGGCGCTGCGTACAGGCACAGGCCGGGGCGGCGGGGTAGTGGGCAGTGCGGGGCGGAGTGAGGGACTGGCACGTCGAGCCGGGGTGGGGCCAGAGGGGGCGCTGGGAATGCAGTGGGGGAGGGTCGTGGAACTGGAGGAGGAGGAGCCGCAGAAGGCGGAGGCCCGCGGTGCGGAGGAGGAGGGGGGTCGTGGAGGCAGGAGGCGGATCTGGAGAGGAAGCGAGGCGAGAGAGCGGCGGAATTCAGAGACCCGAGGAACTCCGACAGGAAGACCGCCGTGGGGCGGGGCTGGGGCTGGGATGTGGGCGGGGCTGGGGCTGGGATGTGGGCGGGGCGGGATGTGGGCGGGGCTTGTGGGACGCGAGGCCGCTCTGGAGGGACCCGGGGCAAGAAAGGCCGCGAGTCGCACCGCCCCCGCTTCCGCCCCCGCCGCACCGCCAGCCGCCCCCTCCCGCCAACTTGCTTCCCCGCGGCGCCTCGCGGGGAAGCGAGGCTGGTAGAGCGAGGCTGCGGCTCAGGCGACGATTGCTCTGAATACAAAAGAGCCTTTCTCACGCCCTTGCGCCCTTCCCCGCCTGGGGCGCCCAGATGGACAGCACTGGCCCCTTGGACACTAGAGCCGACAGCTGTCGGGGCCACAACACCCTTTCTGTGGTTCTTGCAGAGAAGCCTGCTTCCAAGTCTTTACAGGAGAGTTTAATGATCAGTATAACGATAACTTTGGTCCCCTCCTCCAATTTGAGAGAAAAAACAAATTGAGGGATGAAGGCTTTTGAAGCCCGGTAAGTGCCCAAGAAAACCAACCTGCCTAGGTCCGTGTCTTCCCGGGCCCACTCATACCTCCAAGTCGTTAATTAATAAGCAGGCCTGGAGCCTCCAACTTTGTGGCTTCGCTTTCCAACTCAGCTAAACGAATGACGACAGTGGTCCTTTCCGAATATAAACGACTTGATCAACTTCTGAGCCTCCAGATGAACTAGTCTTGCTCATAGAATCACTTGGTTCACGAAACTGGGGGGCGAAAAATGGCCTGGTTGTCAGCACTCGCCCATCCACTAAGGTTAGTTTTTGCACAGTTGGGATTTAAATTGCCAAGACATCGATAACGAGCAGAAATTGGGGTTGTTCCTGCATTTTCCTCCATCTCCTTTAATTTGTCTTTCGTATATCGTGTCTCTGTCAGGAAGGCCAGATCGATAAGCAGGAGAGGAAAGGGGGGCAAGGACTCTTAGAATCAATAACCGAACCACTGATTTCCTGGAATCAATAACCGCACCCGTTCACGGCTACTGGCCTTTAATCATCCTTTAGCGGTAAGATTCTTTACCCTTTCTTCCCTACCATCCTTTTAGTCCAGATAGCCCTGGGTGTGGATTTCTTTACTTTCCAGTGTTACATCATGAACTTCATGAAGATAGAACCCAGAAATATAAATATTTAGAAGATGGTTACCAAAGGCATTAGACACCAAGCAAATACTTTTTAAAATGAGAATATCGTTAATGATGGTTAAAATTTTCATTCAGTCCTTACTTGTTGCTGAAAACTTCATTCAGTCCCTACTTGCTACTGGTGTAGAATATAATATAAAAATTGATTTTGCTTTATCATATAAATTAAAAATCGTGATTTCTTTTATTCAGAATTTTAGGCCCAAGGTTTCCCAAACAAGGAGCCCGTGTGAAGTGTGTGGGGTGTGTCTGTGTGTGTTGTACTTTCAGCTTCTTGTTGTACCATAAAAACAAGAGCAGGATGTAATGTCATTAATTTGTCCGGAATTGTTGACTTAAAAGAGGCAACTGTGAGTATAGAACATTCACTTTAGGGGAGGGAGGGCGGGGAAGCCCCTCGGAGAGACAGACAACTGTTCCCCAGAACAGCTGCGGACACTGGCCGTGGAATGGCTTGGCACGGGTACAGCTCTGTGCAGCGAGAGGGACTTATTTATTTAACAATAGTTAATGATTCGCCCAGGCAACTCCCAGGAGGCCAGCTAGCAGTAAATACACTTTCAGGAAATCAGCTACCCTTCCTAGAAGCCTGCACCAACCCTACAGTGTAGGGAGGTCCCTGACTATCTGCATAATACAACATTCAGTGGACTGCCCAGCTTCAAATGCCCCGGAGTAATTCCTTCCACAGCTTACCACAGCCCTGCCCTCCTGAGCTAGGAAAGTTACCAAGTCCTAAGCAAAAAAAAAAAATGAAGACAAATACGCCATTTCTGGAATACCACCATTCTAGTTACCTGGGAACCGAAGTGGGCTGTTCAACCCTGTCCCCTTAGCTAAAAGTATCAGATAAGCTAGTTGGTGCCCATAGACTAGCATTTTCTTAAGTGATATCTATCTATACTGTCTGTACTGGTAGTTCTTGTGATAATGTTAGGTGGTACTTGAATAACATTTTTTATTTTAATGGTCAGAGTATTTTTTTTTTCTAATGCACATAACTAGCATACCAAACCCATGGTGCTGTAAATATAATTACTTAGGGTGAGGCCACACTTTTTAAAGTCAATTTAAAGAGAAATCTTAATAAGCAAAGGTAATAAGATAGCAAAAGTCATTGTAATTTTTTTTTTAATCTTTTTTTTTTTTTTAGGCCGCACTGTGAGGCGTGTTGGATCTTAGTTCCCCAACCAGGTATGGAACCTATGCCTTGTACATTGGGAACACTGGATCACCAGGGAAATCCCTGTAACCTTTATATTAAATGAAGTAAAGTCAGTAGGGTGCTTGTAGAAACCAGTTTTTATTCTTTCTCTAGAAGTGTCTGCCAGAACTCTTAAGATAGAGGAAGGATCCCATTGTCACCTCCTGCTTAAAATTACTGGTTTGAGAAAGTCTGAGCAGGCAAGACAATGCCTGGGCTCTAGAGGGCCATGTCAGGGGGAACAGGGCCAGTAGATAGCGGGTGGCAGAATGGACACGTGAGGAGGGTGAATCCAGGATACTGGGCACCCAGGGTGGGTCCCCGAAAGGGAATGACAGTCTGAGAACTTATTGCCTTTTTCTCATGAGGTGGAATCCCGCAGATCCCTGCCATCACTGATGAGCATTTAGACGGTACAAGAGAAGTTCCAGTCGCTCTAAGCCTCTTTGAGGCTTGTTTCCAAAATAACTGGAGCGACCTACACAAGAAATGTTCATGATACTTTTGGGAAGATTGCTTATCAAAACAGTCTATTTCCAGGGTTGTTTCTATGTGTCACGTGATTGTAAATGTTGGATTACCTTCACACCGACTCTAAACACACCTCCACCCTGGAGGATACACTGTGCAGAATTGTTGACACTCCCAAGGAGCCACTGTTGGGTGACAAGCAAAAAGATTCTTACATGTTTCAGGAGCTCTCTCCTTAGAAGACTGTACTTCATCAGGTTCTTTGGTGCTGGCTTTTTAAGTCTGACATCTAGTGTAAACAGACAGACTGCTAGTGGGTTAAGTACTCATGGTAAAGTCTATTACAATATGAATAGATGAACTGTACTGACATTCCTAAACCATTTTTTAATCAATAGTTCCATACATACTACCTACTTCACACACACACTACCCACCTACCCCCATCCCCTTTTTATGTCTGCATCCTACCATCCTTCCATTTACGTTAGGAGAGGTATGTGTGTGTGTGTTAGTCTCTCAGCTGTGTCCGACTCTTCGCGACCCCATTGACTGTAGCCTGCCAGGCTCCTCCGTCCATGGGGTTCTCCAGGCAACAACACTGACCGGAGTGGGTTGCCATTCCCTTCTCCAAGGAGAGGTATGTACAGTGAAGTAATAAAGTGTGTGATGGGGGGAAGGAGGCAGAAATGCAAAAGGCCTTAAATGGCTTCAGACTCTGGAATGTATGAAAATATCTGATAAAGGTCATAACTAAAAGCAAAATGTGGATGTAAAGTGGTAGTTTTGGATCAGACTTACATGGTCTTTCATAACCTGGAGGTGGAGGTGCTGGAGGAGAATCCCCAGACAGAATTTGGTGTGCCTATGAAGAAGAGATGAAAATAAATATCAACCAATTTCACAACAACAGAAATTTAATAACATTCTTTTTCCACTGTTGCCCTCCCCATTCAAAAGGTACTTTGATACTGCTGTCAAAAGCCACCATAGGAAAATACTAATACTAAAATGAAAAGACAAAATTGGAGAAAATACTTATAAAATTGGACAGCTATCCTTATATGCAAATATAACAACTATCCTTATATGCAAATAGCTTACGCAAAGTAGTTAAGAAAAAGCTAAACACCCCAATAGAAAGGTGGTCAAAGGAAGTGAATAAGATCGATCCTCATTGTTCATGGATTCCATTCAAAATCAATACTCAGTGCTTTTGAGATCATTCAAGGACGTGCCCGAAGTGGCAAAGTTTGAGTCACTTTCCATGCATGTTCTTAGTGGAGGCCCAACAAGAGCACACTCTGTCTTCTTGTTTCGGTTCTGGTCCTGTAAACAAGTGCCCTTTTTGCAGCCTGTCTAGTGCCACACCTTCTGTATTTTCCTGTCTTTTGTTAATGATCTCACTGTTCTAAACGGCCCCCAGGTGCAGTGCTGATGAGCTGCTTAATGTTCCTAAGTGCGAGAAGGCTGAAGTGCCTTCCAGAGAAAATGCGGTTGTTTAGGCACAAGTTATAGTGCTGGAGGATCAATGTTAATGAACCAACAATATATGTTAAATAAGGTGCCGTTAAACAGAAACACATGGGAAAAAACTTACGTACTGATCAATTGGTGAAAATCGTATGACCAGAGGCTCACAGGAAACAGACTCTATATTTCTCTTAGGAGTAATAGTTCCGTGTTCCCTAAGTCATGTTAGTAGAGACTTTAAAAAAGATAACTACCTTGAATAATGAGAACTGACTATAATTCACGAAAAGAGTATGAATAACTAGTAAACAGAAGATGCTAAACCTCAGTGATAAAGAAATGAAAATCAAAAGAAGACTGAACTAGTTTTATCAAACTAGAAAATAATAAAATTATTTTTAAATCCAGCATTAGAGAAAATATAGGAAAACAGGCACTCTTGTGGGCTGCTTTTTCATAAAACCAATGTTCTGAAAGGCAATTTGGCCATATATCAGAATTTAAAATAAGTATCCCTTCTGACCCAAGAATTCTGCCTATGGGAAAGTACTCTGAGATGATGATGGAACAATTATAAAAAACTTACATTCACATTTACTGATTCCCATGTAATTTGTAAGTTACAAATTTGAAAAGCCTAAATGCCCAGCATTATGGCATATTTTTAAGATGATACATCCAGTCAATAGAATATTATGTATCTATTAAAATAATGATTATGTTAACACTGAAAGAGGTCCATGAAAGCCTTAAATAATGAAAGCAGATTACAGAGGACAGTGGACCCCATCTGCGTATTCTATGTGCATGACTGTGTGCATCTTTAAACAACTTTTCACTTGTTTTGGCTGTGCCGGCCTGCGTTGCTGCGTGGGCTTTTCTCTAGCTGCGGAGAGCAGGGTCTCCTCTCCAGTCGGGGCGCCAAGGCTTCTCACTGCCCTGACCTCTCTTGTTGAGGAGCACCAGCTCCAGGCCTGGGAGCTTCAGTGGTTGCAGCTCCCGGGTTCTGGAGCGCAGACTCAGTAGGCACAGGGCCTCCGTTGCTCTGCGGCATATGGGGTCTTCCCGAATCAAGGATCGAACCCTTGTCTCCTGCCATGACTGCTGTTTTCTTTATCGCTGAGCCACCAGGCAGGCCCCCGTGAGTGTCTTTATGTACACCTAAGTACAGAGGGCTATTTCTAAGGAAGATCACCAAAACATTAATGGTGGTTTATCCCTGGGAGGAGGGGAAGGGTTCAGGTAACTTTTACTGTGCCTCTGTTTTTCTGGATTGTTTGAAAGTTTTCAATCAGAGGAGAGCTGCTTTTGTTTTTAACTGTCCATGTAGTATGTATAGTTATTGTCACACACGGGAAAGAGGAAAAATTCATGACTGTGAAAGAAGCAGAGAATCATCATCTCACAACTAATGCTGGTAATCTTATATCTCCATCACCTAGAAGAAAGCTAAATGTATAATAAGCACTCAAAAATAAATGTTCTGTGAATGAATATATTAACAACTTCATTCCGCTCCAGTTTGTTTGTTTCCTAGTTAATAACAACAAAGCAGTGTGCGACCGTTTAAGCTCTCCATGTAAACAATCACTGAGAAATGTTGGGCTTACCACTCCATGCTTGACAATAAATGAATTTTTAAAGGAACTGGTTATATGTGGTAACAGTCCTGCATGCAAATGAAGAAGAAAAACCAGGATCAAACCAAGTGTCAGAATAAAATTTCTTACATTCCCAATTAGGCTATACCAGCAAATTGTACATACATCACTTATTTCCCTTTAGAATCTGATCAACAGAAAAATAAGAAGTAAGACAAAGCTGTGATTAAAAGTTAACTCATATAGTAAACATTCTGGAGCTCCCAGGGTGAGTGGGTAAAAATGTTTTTTTTTTTTTTAACCACTTTAACATTATTTTTAAAAGAAAATCATATTGGCAACAGCCAAGAAGACATTGAAATTATTTGAATTTACAGCTTTAAAATGTTATCAGAGTAATTCAGTTTTACATGTCTTTGGCTTTCTCTATAAGGTTTTCCTGAAGTAAGTCTAAAATAGGGCCTGTGTTTCAGTATTAATTTTCTTAAATTTTAATTTAGCTACAAAATACTTTTTTATGTCCCCTCCCCACCATGAGAAAGAAAAATTAACCTTTTTTAAGTGTTCCTCTTTTTTCAAGATTTTAATTTTTTAGAGCAATTTTATCTTCACAAAACTGAGAGAAAGATACAGAGTTCCAGTATACTCCCTGCCCCAACACAGGCATAGCTTTCCCATTATTGGCATTCCCCCACCAGAGCAGTAACCATTGTTGCAACTGGTACACCTACAATGTATTAATAACCTCATAATCTCCTAAAGTCCACGGTTTGCATTACAGTTCACTGTTGGTGTTGTACATCCTGTTATTGTTTAGTCACTAAGTTGTGTCTGACTCTTTTGTGACCCCACGCGACCCCACCAGGCTCCTCTGTCTATGGAATCCTCCAGCTGAATACTGGAGTGGGTTGCCATTTCCTTCTCTGGGGGATCTTCCCAACCCAGGCATGGAACCCGCGTCTCCTGCATTGGCAGGTGGATTCTTTAATCACTGAGCCACCAGGAAAGCCAGTACATTCTATGGGTTTGGACAAATATATAAAGGCATGTACCTATCATTATACTATTACAGTTTTTTCACTGTCCTAGAAGTCCTCTGTGCTCTATTTATCCATCCCTATGCAAACTTTAGAATCACTTAGTTGATTCTAAAGCTATCCACAAAATAGCTTGTTGTGGTTGTGATTGGGATTGCACCGAATCTAATTTCAATTTCTACTTGTGCTTTGCTAGTATGTAGGACAGCAATCAAGTTTTGTACGTTAACCTTGTATCTTGCAATCTTCTTACCATCACGTATTAGTTCCAGGACTTTCTTTTCTTTTTGGTAAATTCTTTTAGATTGCCTCCATAGGAAATTGACTCATATGTGAACGAAGAGAGTTTCATTTTTTCCTCCTCAATCTCCATACCTTTTATTTCCTTTTCTTGTCTTAATGCATTAGCTAGTACTTTCAGTATTATGTTGAAAGGAGTGGTGAGAGGAGAATCCTTGCCTTGTACCTGATCTTAGTGGGAAAGCTTTGAGCTTCTGTCATTAAATATGATGTTACCTATAGTTTTTTTGTAGATTTTCTTTATTAAGTTGAGAAGTTCCCATTTTTCCCTAGTTTACTAAGACTTTTTTATCACGAATGGGAACAGAATAGAAAGCCCAGAGATAAATCCACGAACCTATGGTCACCTTATCTTCGACAAAGGAGGCAAGGATATACAATGGAAAAAAGACAACCTCTTTAACAAGTGGTGCTGGGAAAACTGGTCAACCACCTGTAAAAGAATGAAACTAGAACACTTTCTAACACCATACACAAAAATAAACTCAAAATGGATTAAAGATCTAAATGTAAGACCAGAAACTATAAAACTCCTAGAGGAGAACATAGGCAAAACACTCTCCGACATAAATCACAGCAGGATCCTCTATGACCCACATCCCAGAATTTTAGAAATAAAAGCAAAAATAAACAAATGGGACCTAATGAAACTTAAAAGCTCTTGCACAACAAAGGAAACTATAAGCAAGGTGAAAAGACAGCCCTCAGATTGGGAGAAAATAATAGCAAAAGAAGCAACAGACAAAGGATTAATCTCAAAAATATACAAGCAACTCCTCCAGCTCAACTCCAGAAAAATAAATGACCCAATCAAAAAATGGGCCAAAGAACTAAAGAGACATTTCTCCAAGGAAGACATACAGATGGCTAACAAACACATGAAAAGATGCTCAACATCACTCATTATCAGAGAAATGCAAATCAAAACCACAATGAGGTACCATTACACACCAGTCAGGATGCATGCTATCCAAAAGTCTACAAGCAATAAATGCTGGAGAGGGTGTGGAGAAAAGGGAACCCTCTTACACTGTTGGTGGGAATGCAAATTAGTACAGCCACTATGGAAAACAGTGTGGAGATTTCTTAAAAAGCTGGAAATAGAACTGCCATATGACCCAGCAATCCCACTTCTGGGCATACACACCGAGGAAGCCAGATCTGAAAGAGACACGTGCACTCCAATGTTCATCGCAGCACTGTTTATAATAGCCAGGACATGGAAGCAACCTAGATGCCCATCAGCAGACCAATGGATGAGGAAGCTGTGGTACATATACACCATGGAATATTACTCAGCCATTAAAAAGAATTCATTTGAATCAGTTCTAATGAGATGGATGAAACTGGAGCCCATTATACAGAGCGAAGTAAGCCAGAAAGATAAAGACCATTACAGTATACTAACACATATATATGGAATTTAGAAAGATGGTAACGATAACCCTATATGCAAAACAGAAAAAGAGACTCCAATGTATAGAACAGACTTGTGGACTCTGGGAGAAGGCGAGGGTGGGATGTTTCAAGAGAACAGCATCAAAACACGTATATTATCTAGGGTGAAACAGATCACCAGCCCCAACTAACACATATATATGGAATTTAGAAAGATGGTAACGATAACCCTATATGCAAAACAGAAAAAGAGACTCCGATGTATAGAACAGACTTGTGGACTCTGGGAGAAGGCGAGGGTGGGATGTTTCAAGAGAACAGCATCGAAACACGTATATTATCTAGGGTGAAACAGATCACCAGCCCAGGTTGGGTGCATGAGACAAGTGCTCAGGCCTGGTGCACTGGGAAGACCCAGAGGGATCGGGTGGAGAGGGAGGTGGGAGGGGGGACCGGGATGAGGAATACATGTAAATCCATGGCTAATTCATCTCAATGTATGACAAAAACCACTGCAATGACGTTAAGTAATTAGCCTCCAACTAATAAAAATAAAAAAAAAATAATAATTCTAGTCTTACAAAAACTAATGAAAAATGAATCCCACATAAAAAAAATAAATAAATAAATTTTGTCAAAAGCTTTTTCTGAATATATTGATATGATCATGTGATTTTTTATTTAGCCTGTTGATGTGATGGATACACTGATTTCTGAATGTTGAGCTAGCCTTGTATGCCTGGCATAAATTCCTCTTAGATGTGGTGTATAATTCTTTTATTTGCTGATATTTAGCTGAGGATTTATGAATCTGTGTTTATGAAATGTATTTATCTGTAATATCTCTTATAATCTCTTTGCCTGGCTTTGGTATTAGGGTAATGCTGACCTCATAGAATGAATTAGGAAGACTTCCTTCACCTTTTAACCTCTGAAAGAAATTGTAGAGAATTGGTATAAGTTCTTCCTTAAATGTTTGATAAAATTTACCAGTGAACCTATCTGGGCCTATTGCTTTCTGCCTGGGAAGGTTATTGATTCAGTTTCTTTAGTAGATATAAGCATATTCAGATTGTCTATTTTTTCTTATTGAGTTTTGACAGTTTGTGTCTTCAATGAATTGGTCCATTTCATCTTGGTTATCAAATTTGTCAGTATAGAATTTTTCATAGTATTCCTTTAGTATCCTTTTAATGTCTGTGAACCCTGTAGTGATTTTCCTTCTTTGATTTATTTCTGATAGTAATTTATGTCCTTTCTCTACTTTTTTCTTAATTAGCCTTTCTAGAGTCTTACTGATTTTTCTTGATATTTTTCAAAGAACCAGCTTTTTGTTTCCTTGATTTTCTCTCTTGATTTCCTATTTTCAATTTCACTGATTTCTCCTCTACTACTAATTTATTTTCTATTGCTTACTGTGGGTTTAATGTGCTCTTTCTCTCCTAGTTTCCTAAGATGGAAAGTAAATTGATTTTAGATTTTTCTGATAAATCAATGAAATGCTATAAATTTGTCTAAGCACTGCTTTTACTGCATTACACAAATTTTATGTTGTAGTTTCATTTAGTTCAAGCTATTTTTTAAATTTCTCTTGAGATTTCTTCTTTGATCCATGTGTTATTTAGAAGTGTATTGTGTAATCTCCAGGTATTTGGGGATTTTCCAGTAATATTTGTTATTGATTTCTAATTTAATTCCATTGTGGTCTAAGAGCAGATATTCTATGAATGCTATTCTTTTAAATTTATTAAGGTGTATTTTATGAGCCAGAATGTGGCCTATATTGGTGAATGTTCCATGTGAGCTTGAGAAGAATGTATTTTCTATCATTGGATGAAGTTATTTAATAGATATTGATTATATCCAGTTGATATGTGGTTGAGTTCAAATATGTCCTTACTCAGTTTTTGCCTTCTAGATCTGTCTACTTCTGATAGAAAGATGTTGAAATTTCCAAACATGATAGTGGGTTCATCTATTTCTCCTTAAAGTTTTATCAGTTGTCACCTCATATAGTTTGATACTCTTGTTGTTTGGTATATGTGTGTTAAGGATTATGTCTTCTTAGAGAATTAACCCCCTTATCATTATTATTATTATTAATCATTATTATTATATCATCATTATTATTAAATGCTCTTCTTTATCTCTGATAAATTTCCTTGCTCTGACGTCTGTTCTGTGTGAAATATAGCTGTTCCTGCTTTATTTTTAATTGGTATTAACATAGTATATTTTTTCCATTTATTTACTGTTAATCTATTTGTGTCTTTATATTTAAAGTGGGTTTCTTGTAGATAACATATAGGATCTTGTATTCAGATCCACAGACC